CCCAAATTTTTTGTTTCAATTTTATAAATTATTAAATGAATTTTCTTTGTGCGCCTTCTTTCTCTGTGGCCTTCTTAGCGTTCCTCTTCATCTTGGCCTGATCTGGAGGCTAGAACAGTACACGCATCAAGTAAATGGATCACTCAACAGTCAACACACAAGCCATAGGCATTCCCATTCACATATCTAGGAGCACATACATCAATGATCAATGAAGGTTGGAGGCGAAATGGAGCTACTACACCTTTGCTCAATGCCGACTATGGGCTGGGCTCCTTCGAGTATTGCAAGCAGGGACTACAAACTGGTTGGGGACTAGTGGCGCTGAGGAGTTGTGGATCCCTCACTACTAGTAGTAGCTCTAAAGAGAATGGCCGCCCCAATGCCCTTCTATCGAAAATCTAGACATATATATTTATATTTATATTTAGCTGGTGTTTAAATTCAGAGAGTAAAGTTTAGAAATGTTACATCCAATGTCTAATCGAGTGTTTGAATAGTAATAAGGTCAGTCTCAATGGTAGTTTTAAATAACTTTCATTCTCATTAATTGCTATGATACATCGGCATATTTGCTGAGTTGGCAGAGTATTAACGAGGAGAGAGAGGAGATGAGAGTTTCATCAGGATCAAACATCCTTCACGGTTATGTGCATAATGATTACATAGTTAACAATAATATAACTATCTTTATGTGCATCAACAATGAGGGCCTCATTGTGATCAAGCCGTACGTAAGCAGGTTCGTCAACCTCTTGAAGGATAGGTAGGGGTACGTTCGCTCCCAATGGAGGCATTTCCTGATAACCCCTGTAGTCTTCTTCGTCCGTCACTCCATCGACACCGACAATCTTCCTTTTCCATTCTAGGACTACTTTTAGCCTCCCTTTTGTCTTGTTGTCCCTTACATAGAAGACTTGCATAACATCTCTTACAAGGATGAAGGGGTCGTCTCTGTATGCGGTCTTAGTGAGATCAATGGTAGTGAACCCTTTGCTGTCAGTGTTGATTTCCTCGAGCCGGACCCACTGGCAGTGAAAAAGAGTTGCCTTCAATGGACCATAGGCTAGCTCCCATATCTCCTCTATGAAACCATAGTATGTCACCTGCACGTTGTCGTTTTCGTCGTGAGCATCAAAACGAACACCACAATTTTGGTATGTGCTCTTTTCATCTTGTTTTTTGTGTAAAATGTGAATCCATTGATCTCATGCCCTTGATACTTAAGATATGTACTTGAAGGTCCCTTGGCTAAGGCATCAAGTTGATTACCCAACTTTATTCCAAGCAAGCGACGTCGCAACCAGTTGACAAATTCCTCCTTATGTTTTTTATCCAGCCAAGCCTGTGACCTGCTCGGATATAGAGTTTGCAGCAATTGCCTGTGCTTGTTAATGTATGGCATCACACCCTCGGCTTGCTAGAGAACAGCGAACTATGCCTGTCTGAAAGAAACATGGTTGTCTACTATAACAGATTTCTCCCTGATCGTTCCTTTGCCACGTAGTCTTCCCTTGTGATGAGATTATGGAACTCCGAGCCTTTTGATGTCCAGATAATATGTGCAGAACTAAATGGCCTCCTCCGTTGACCATCCTTCAACCATGCCCCCTTGTGGCCTAAATCTGTTCCTAACATACCTCCTGAAAACTTTCATCAATCTTTCGAAAGGAAACATCTGATGCAGGGACATTGGGCCAAGGGCTCTAATTTGGTCAACAAGATGAATGAGCAGATGCAATGAGATATCAAAGTAAGTCGACGAGAAATGCATCTGAAGCCTAACGAGAGTTTCGGCTATGTCCCGCTGCAGCCGCTCTAGCGTGGACACATCAATGACCTTTTTTGAGATCGCGTTGAAGAACGAGCAAAGCTTTATAATTGGGGCACGAACCTTTGGGGGGAGGATACCATGCAGGGCAACAGGGAGCAGCTAAGTCATAATGACATGACAGTCATGGGCCTTCATAGGGCCATAGTTGAACTTTAGTTCTCTCATGTTTACTAGCCTCTTCGGGTTCGCACAGTAGCCCGTCGGGACTTTGAGTTCATTGAAGAAAGAAATAAGCGCACGCTTTTCTTTCTTCTTCAATGTCCATGACGCAACCGGAAGTTCGAATTGGCCATTCTCTAGCTCCAGGGGATGCAGCTTCTTCCTGATTTCCAAGTGTTGCATGTCCAAGCGTGTGGCTAGTGAATCCTTCGATGTCCCCCTGGTGTCCATCAAGGTGTTAAGAGTGTTAGCGCACATGTTTTTAGTGATGTGTATGGGATCAAGACAGTGGCATATACTCAGAAATGGCCAGTAAGGTAGTTTCCAGAAAACCGATTTTTTCTTCCAAACGCTCCCATCAGGCGTTGCTACTGCATTGTCCCCCTTCCCAAGGACAACCTCCAGTTTGTTGAGTTCTCGAAGTATCGCAAGCCTGTCTCGATATTTTGGAGCCAAGCGTTTCTCGATAGTACCGTTGAAATCTTTTCTGTTCCTGTGGTAAGGGTGATCCTTAGGTAGGAACCTACGGTGTCTCATATAAACTATCTTTGAGTTATTTGACAGATTTACCGCATCGGTGTCATTCAAGCACTCGACACATCCAGTATAGCCTTTTGTCTTCTCTCCGGACAACGAACCTCGACCTGTTAGGTCGGTGATTATCGCGATAAGTACTCCCTTGATCGTGACATGTTCCTTTTTGTACTCGTCCCAAACATCCGGCACACCCTTTTCAAATATCTCCACTAGTTCATCGATCACTGGTTTCAGAAACACATCGATGTCATTCACAGGTTGTCTTGGCCCTTGGATTAGTAGTGGCATCTGGATGTATGACTGCTTCATACAGACCCAAGGTGGAAGGTTGTATATACAGAGCGTCACTCGCCAGGTGCTATGATTGCTTCTAACCTGGTCGAAAGGATTCATCCCAATATGCTCAAAGCAAACCAAAGGTGCCTTACCTCTCCACCGATGTCCTTATAGAACATAGTATTGACAGTCCTCCAGTCATGCCCATCGATGGGGTGCCTCATCATTGTATCTTTCTTACGTTCTTCGCCATGCCAGCGCAACAACTTGGCTGACTTTGCACATGCAAACAACCTATGCACCCGGGGAGCTATAGGAAAATACCAAACGACCTTTACGGGACCTCCTCTGGTCTTGGTACCCTCATCTGATGGCCCTTCCTTGTACCGTGGAGCTTCACACTTAGGGCACTTATCCAAGTCTTTATATTTTTCTCCACGGTACAATATGCAATCATTAGAACACGCGTGGATTTTTTCAACCTCGGGGCCGATGGGGCAGATTATTTGCTTGGCCAAGTATGTCTTTTCTGGCAACTCATTTTTTTCTTGGAGCATTTTCCTTATTATATCTAACAACTGATCGAAGCCTTTATCGCTCAATCCGTTTGTCGATTTGAACTCTAACAGCATGATGTCGGCTTTCAATTTGCTCATTGGACAATCCCTATACAATGGTGTTTTGCCATCTTATCTCATTTTCTCTAGCTTTCTCAGTTGTCTTTCACTAAGACATCCGGTCTCTACATTACGTAGTAGCTGATAAATGCCATCGTTATCCTCGGTGTCGTCAGCTAGCGTGTTCCTAAATACATTATTAACTGTGGCTATAGGTTTCGTGTTGACACCGGGTTCCTCATCAGCATCGTGGATAGCTACGTCATGCATGTCCATATTATCATCGTTTTTCTGCAGAACATTCACACCAACCTCGCTATGCATAATCCATATCGTATAGTTTGGTATGAATCCTCTGGTAATCAAGTGCGATCGTATAGACTCAATTTAACGAAAGTTCCTTTGATTCTTGCAATCTTAGCATGGACAGAAGACAGGGTTCCCATTCCCAGCATGGGCTTTGGCATCGGTGATAAACTGGCAGACACCATGCATGTACCGCTTATCCGTTCGGGACAAATGCATCCACTTTTCGATCCATCTCTGCACAAAAAAAACACTTGAGACAGTAATTATAAAGAATTAATAAGAAATCAAGCTTCATAAACAACAATTGTAGCTCGAAAGTACTATTTTTGGAAAATATTATTGTACACTAATTATTAAAAAATTGAAATTGGTTGCTCCGATCCTGTAAATTAAAAATCGTAGTAAAAAACTAATTATTGCACAATAATAAAGAACAACTATTTTACTCTACTTCTAAGAACTAATTATAGCATCACATACTAACAATGATGATCTTGACCACCATGGAATAATTAGCTAGGAATTTAAATATGTTTATAGACACCAACCTTTTGGATGATGGATTCACCATAATTTGAGTCTTGTACAAATATCCAATTGAAAAAGTGCTCTCTAGAATGGAGAAAGAACTAGAATGAGAATTAAGCAATGTAGCCATCAAAACAAAGCTAATGAAGCAACAAAATCAAAATAGTGGATGTTTGTTACTAACCTTAAAAGCAAAAAGATAAGCTATTTTTTAAAATCCAAGCGCTAGCTTCATGGTGAAGAGCAGCCGCAACAATAGAGGGAAGGGCCTAAACGCGCGCCTCTGTTCTCGGGATGGAAGAGAGGAGAAAGAAGAGGACGGCTACAACCTTTTTATGTTGTAGCCTTATCATCGTCGTTTCTTGACTATAACCCACAGTGATAGAGCCTAATCACTGTCGGTTCTTGGCTTGAACCGGCAGTGATAAGTGGCCGCCAAAACACTGCTGGTTCAAGCCACAAACCGGCAAGCCACAAACCGACAGTGATGTGATTCTTTCACTGCCGGTTTTAGCTCAGCTCCAATTATTTTCTTATTTTCAAGCTCATAATCGGCAGTGAAGATATATCACTACCGATTCTCACAAATCCAACAGTGATGAGGTCGATGGTGATGTGGAAATCTGGCATAGTACAACAACACTGCTGCCGTTTATTCTTCTTTATTACTTTATTCTGTATAATATGTACTACTTATTGGAAGTCCACAAACTTGGCAGGGCGCCAGCCGGAAGAGCTGCCTAGTGCTGACCGGGGAGCTTCTCCTTGATTTTCTCCATGAAACCCTTCTTCTCATGCGTCCCCTCAGTCGTCGTCGTCGTCCCGTACGTGTCGGTGGTTCCGCCATAGCCGCCGCCGGTTGCCCTGGTGGTGTCCTGGTTCTGGTCGTAGTCCTTGTGGCCACCCGGGATTTTCTCCTTGATCTTCTCCATCACGCCCTTCTTCTCGTGGGTGCCTCCGGTCGTCGGCGCGTACGCCCCGCCGGTGGTTCCTGTACCGGTTGTCGGCCCAGCCCCAGTGTATCCTGTCCCGCCGTATGCTCCGGTTGCCGTCGCCTGGCCCTGGTTGTCCTTGTGGCCTCCGGGCATCTTTTCCTTGATCTTCTCCTTTAGGCCCTTCTTCCGACGCCCACCCATGCCATCATCTTCAGATGATGACTGCACGACAAGATTCTTGCGTGTTTAGTCGTCAAAAAGCTCGAGAGGACACAAAATAAATAGTGGGAGTGCAAGAGCGTGAAAATATATAGCAATAATGAAGCAAGAAATTAAACGCACCGAGCTGGAGCTGGAGCTGCCGGAGCGGCGTAAGATGCCGCCTGTCTTGTGCTCAGCTCCATGGGGGAACGCGCCGCCGGTTCCAGTTATGCCTGTGCCGCCGTGACCCGCCGTGCCATGGCCGGGCATGCCGGTGCCGGTGTGCCCTCCTCCGCCCAAAACCCCGGTGTCATGCATTCCAGTGGCACCATGCGCACCGTGACGACCGGTGCCGGTACCATGGGTGCCCATGCCTGTTGCACCATGCATACCACCAGCGTGCCCGACGCCGCCGGCGCCGTCCTGGAATCCGGCCACGCCATGCGTACCTGTGGCTCCATACCCTCCTGGGCCACCGGCGCCATGGACGCCTGTTCCGGTAGCCCCGTCACCCGGATAACCAGAGCCGCCATAGCCCCCGGTGTCATGCGTGCCGGTGCCAGTGGCGCCGTACCCGGCCTGCTGGCCGCCGCCGTAGCTGCCGGTGCCCGCGACGCCGTACCCGCCGGCTTGACCCTGAATACCATGGCCCCCAGGGATCGGGTTGCCGTACTCGTCGACTTGCTGCCGCCTCCCCTGCTCGTAGTGCGCCATACTTTCTCCTCTCTAGCTCCTCTCGATCGCTTTGGCTAGCTTTGCTGAGCTTACCTGTGTGTGTTACTATGCTCGAGATGGATGAAACGGACGAGGCCAAATGTGTTTATTATTTATAGACGATGCGTGCGTGCAACGTGTTAGAATTGGCAGCTCGACACGTCGCAGCTACGTGTCCCTGCATGCAGGGAGCTTGATGTCGGTCGCGTAGGCAGCCGAGTGGACGCGTGGGCTGTGGCCGGGCTGCCTGCGTACGTACGTGTTGGTAGGAGTACTAGAAGGACCGGAGCGGTGTCAACGTGGGATTGCTGTAGCGAGCGTAAATTGTCTGTCGCCGACAGCAAGAGCAGATAAGCAAACTGGAGCAACGTCACTATACTAGATAGTTCGGCGCGCTTCGCCGCGCCCGCATGATCTACGCGCTGCTGTAACGATTCGGTTCGACAGGGGTTTGATTGCATCGATAGATAGATTTTTTTTTAAGGCAGGATCGATAGATAGATTGGTACTATATGTTCGTGCGTCTTTGTTGTGTAACCTTCTGCGTGGACTATGTAGTCTATATAGGGTGGTGCGTTGTTTTGTATGCTTACAATATGCCACCTTATATATACAAGCTTAAGATTATATATATAGAAGTAACAATCAGAAATTAGCAAGCTCACAATAATGTAAGCATGTCAACATAAGATCTGCTAATCAATTCGGCATGGAAGCAATAGCCGGTATACTAACTGCAAAACGCATATGCTTGACATAGTTAACATCTAGCAGGTACAGTGAGAGAATACTCCACTAGCCTGCATATATTAACTTCAAGAAATAACATCATTGGACTGGCTTTCCTGCAAGTTAAGTTGACCTAGCAATAAGGCCATAACACTGCCAGGTGTTGTTGCCACCTTATATCTGCATGAATAAACTAAAGTAAGCATACCTATGGCCCCGTTCGGCTTGCTAAAATTTGGTTGAAATTGACTGAAAAACACTGTTGTGGCTGAAATGTTATGAGAGAAAAATATTGTTCCGGCTAAAAAAAAAAACCGAACAAGCCGGATTTAAGGTAAGCCGAATGGGGCATAACAATTTTGAAGAAGAAATTTGAATATCATTTGACATATTTAGTTGGACGTATATAGCTGTGGGGAGAAGCCTTATAACTAAGCAACTGAGTTTCCGGTTTGTCGTGGCCATGGAAATGAAGTATAAATGGTACAAAGAGTAATATGCATAGGGCCCCAAAGAGATATGTATAGCAGAAAAGCTAGAAAAGTTGCATCAAGAACATGTAGGTAGAAAAATGGCAAACTAAGCAAATCATAAAGAGGTGACAATGTCTGAGTTGTTATGAGTTATGGAGCAAACATTGTGTAAAATAGCGTATCTAATTTTGTTCAGAGGAAGCAGCGAGCTGAAGCCTGTCATCACACTGAAGCCTGAATATGAACTGGAGGCAGCATTGAGGAATTTAACACATTGTTAAAATTGAAGGTTGGGCACATAGAAATACAACTGGCAAATATTTAGGCTGTGCAGAGTAAGCAAAAGTAATATTTATTTGAGGTCGGGTTAACATTTAGTATCGTGTAATTGCAAAGTTAGAAGTAACTTTTAATACATGGTGTACATTATGTACATAAATTTGTATGCGACAAAAGGATGGAAATATGAACATTATGTATCATAACCGTGATTAGTAAATGAAAAAACACAAGATGGAAGGACGCACAATATTACATTCTTAATTAAAACATCAGGAATCCTTACCATCCCAAAATGCCTTATTAGACCTCTCAATGGATCCATGCAGTGGAGCATACGGCCATATATATTATCGAATAGATAAGCAACAAGATTTCCCAAATTAATTTGGTAACCTGAAAAATAAAAGATGTGTCAGGCAAAGTAACGAGGGCATTGTATAAAAAAAGTAAAGAGGCTAATTTTACAATAATGAAAGGTAATACATGGCAGATAATGTGTAGGCAGAATGTACATTGGGGGGTTCCTGCAACTACAGGCACATGATGTTTGACCATAAACCAATCAAGCATGCAACTACAAAAATACTGTGAACTGCATCTTATTAGAAATAGTTTTGCCAATGCCAGCCCAATGTGATCAAGCTTTTCCAAATCCATTTATGTTATTAATCACCACCAAAGTTCGGCTAGCAGTATGGTTAGCGTGCTTTGTCATGAAGGATAAATAGGAAAAACAGAGTGTTGCCTCACTTGGTTAACTTCTTTTCTGGTACCCAAAAGTATAAATTTCACTTAAGGCACTAATTAAATTAGATACGATGCTAAATATATAGAGGTCGCTATATGTATAAAGATCATTTTCCAAAATTGGTAAAAGTTGATATGATATTAGGTGCTATGAGAAGGCAACTGAGTCTATATGCTTTGTGAGAGAGCTGAAACACAAACATACCTATTTTTGAACTGGACTCCTGTAGCAATGTTATAATGGATACTAATTAAGTTTCCTGATTTTTCTAGTATGTCCTTTACTGTAAGCAAAATGTAGCTAATATAGAATGCATGAAGTTAGCGAAGTATGCTAAACAGAGGCAGGAGCTAGAAGAGGTAGCACCAGAGTTTGACAAAACTGCATGGCATGAATCTTCTACAGTAGGATAACCAGAGTACGACAGCATATAATCGACAAACACCATCCTCCATAAAATTGCAGTGTGGCAGCCTTGACTAGCAATGAAATTTGTAAAATTTAATCTAATACACAATTATTTCATAATCATGTCAAGATTCATAATATGCTCTATGCAAAAACTTGCACTATTTGGCAGCTTGACATAAGTACCGATCACCAGGTCAGTAGAACAGGAAGCAGGTCAACTCTTCGAACCGGATTTGTGACCACTGATCAAGGTGCCTATTGTTAGGCCTACAGAATTAGCATAATCCAGAGTACGTATTATTGATAGAATCAAAGGCAGGTCAACTGCAAGGATACATGATTTGATACAATCCATGTTTTGCAGCGATAACCCAAAATAAGTATATCTATCGAAATGCTCGACTCACTATATCATAAACTGGATATTTGTATGAAGAATCGGGGATAGAAAATATCAAGCAACAAACTGAAAATGCAATATCAAATACCACTAAACCTTGAAAAGATTGATTTGCTCAATTCAATTGCACATGCAATATCAAATAGGAAAATTAGTCTAACTTTTGCCCCCACCTTTCATCACTTGGTCTACTGGATTCCTCCCCAACTATATAAAACATTCCTTTTCCAAAGTGAACTGATTTAATATCTTAGGATATAAATGAACAATATTATTCTAAAAAATGTCAATGCAATTTTCATTCCCCGCTAGGTAACCAAGTATGATTAGCTAGTTGGATTTTTTCCTTTTAAGTGATTCACCAAGAGAGAGGATCCAAATTAAACAGTGATTGATGTATACATACATTGCCCGAGGCGACACTTAGGATATGCTATCAGTAAGGGATGAGGTTTTGAATTTTCTTTTCATTATTCAAACCAAACATAATTTCGGTGAATTTTCAAACATAAATGGAAAAAATCATAGTAAATCATAAAATGGAAAATCTAATTTTATTGGACTCCTCCACATGAACATAACTGTAGATCTACACAATAGGGAACGCTAGAAGTACCATATTTGTGCATATAAAGATGTATGCTTTAAGTATAATTTTTTTGGTACGCACCAAACTGAACTCATTAGATTAATTGAAAAAAAAATTCAATTTTGTCCACCGCCGATCGCGTCGAGATCGAGAAGAAGGCGACGGACGGCCAAGAATTCGAGATCGAATAAGCAGGAGAAGACAACGATGAGCCTAGACGCAGGCATGATCACTAACAAGTGTCGGTCTGTGGTGATGTGGCCAAATTGACATCTTCAATCAATCAAATGCATGTTGAGGACACTTGAAAGAGGCATAATGTTGTTGAAAAACACCTGCCGGTGCCTTGAGAAAAAAAAAAACTTCAATCTGGGAGAACCGGATAACTCACCGGGCCAACGTCACCGCGTCATGGTCTCGAAGAATATATGCAATGCAACAACTATCTTCTTATTTATAAAACAATTATATTAGACCGAAGACAGAAACCTCTAATAGCATTCCCATGCCAATTTTCCAATTTTGCTTTCCAGTTAGCCTTAATCACTCAATAAGAAATGGCAATAACTGCTAATTTTCATAAATAAGCAAAGGCAAGATCGAGGATTTATATATTTTCTTTTTACACAAAAGAGAAAAATAATATTCGTTTACGATCGTTTACGACAAGCCACAGCCAAACGAACATGATGCATGATCACTAACAAGTGTCGGTCTGTGGTGATGTGGCCAAATTGACATCTTCAATCAATCAAATGCATGTTGAGGACACTTGAAAGAGGCATAATGTTGTTGAAAAACACCTGCCGGTGCCTTGAGAAAAAAAAGAACTTCAATCTGGGAGAACCGGATAACTCACCGGGCCAACGTCACCGCGTCATGGTCATGGTCTCGAAGAAGGATGTCAACTATCTTCTTAAACCAATTACCCGAAGACAGAAACCTCTAATAGCATTCCCATGCCAATTAAAAGAGCCTTGCACTCAATAAGAAATGGCAATAACTGCTAATTTTGCAGACTTTATATATCTTTTTTACGAAACCAAGAGAGAGCTTCCGGTCGAGGCGGTCGGTGACAAACTTACCTCTCGCTTATGCAATGCAAGCTCGCGCTCAAATTCGACATAAAACTCTTTTTTTGCCTTTCCACACACTGAATAACAATTAACTAGAGTCAGCCGCTTTCCGTATTAAAAGAGTTACATTTCCAGACAAGAAACGTGTTCAGTTTTCACGTACAGTACTGTATTAGTAGTATTTTATTTAGAACATCAGTGATTGCCACAAAATTGAGAAAAAACCGTCTGAATCATCCTTGTAATACATTGCCCCCCCAAAAATAGCTAGCTCTACTTGTTAGCAGTCGTGTCTCGTCAACATGGTTTCTCAATGCCCCTTCCACGCAGCATCACTCCACAAGCCCCAGTTTCCGAGGCTAACAAAAAAGGGCAAGGGAACTCTCTTTCGCTACTTGGTTGCATCCTTATTAGCGTTAAGATTTCAGTGACATGATTTGGTCCTCTGAAAATGATGCACCGATAATTCAAGGTCAGTTCTTTTTCTTCAACTATGATAAACTTGCTTCTCTGCCATTTGTTGACGATGCTTCGCTCTTCTTGACGCCAAAAGCAATGTAGTTTACACTGATATCATCTGACAGGGACCATTCTCCACTCAACGGATTGTAAACGAACCCTACCATCTCTTCAACCTGGGAATAGATGTCAAGACATCATCGACGCAGCTTAGAAATCGAATTCAGTGTGATACAGTGATTGAAAACTTACGGAGACAGAAGCCTTTTGCAGCATTAGGACCAGCTCCTCAGGGGTAACCAGTTTGGACCACTCATGTGTGCCTCTAGGAAGCTGCGCAAGTACAAAAGCTCAGAATGAGATATCAATCTTAAGCTGCATTAGTACTCCACCTCAGGAAAAACTATGACAGTATAACCATAAACATCATAGCACTGAATGTTTCTCTGAAGAAGTGGAGATCTTAACAGGACCATTACTGGATTCTAACCTAGGCATCAAAAAATCAGAAAGCCAAGAAGCCTGAACTGACATGGCCTTGATTAGAATGATGAGTTGATGACTGGATTAGTTCACAGGTTCTCTTCATTAGATCATATAAAGAGTTTCAAATTTGAAACGAAGTCTTCAAACCAGACCAACTTTGAAGGGCGTAAACCACTGGTTTATGGATCTACAGAGATTCTGACAACCGAACCTACAGAAACATGTCACTGCAGCACAAAACAAGGGGCACTCTCTATATGTGCAGTCCGTGACATCATATGTTAGGAAGAATAGAAGTATAGATCTACCATGTTTCCTTTACAACATAACTGAATATTTAATAGATTTGAAAAACTGATTTGTTATAGCTCAAGTTCATAAGAAGCATTAGTTGTCAGAGTCCAGACTACAAGTTCCACTCGAGTCAAAACATCACTAAGGAAGCATATTTGTCCAACACAATGGACTACCCAACTAAATTTATTGATCTCAGAAAATGAAGCCAAAACATGAAAGAAGGCTAGACACTAACCCATCTGAGGATATACTCAGCAGCAACTATTGCAGTGGCATATGCTCTCATTGAACGGTTGATTGTGGAAACCACAGTGGCACCATTAGGAACTGTCAAAGCCGAGAGGGATTCACAGAACTCCAAAGGATTAGCGACATGCTCAATCACCTGTAAAGCATACAAAGTTCAATCCATATTCCAGATCCAAATTACATTGGTTAACAACGCTGTAAACTAAATGAAATGAACCCCCACACACACACACACACAAAAAAAAAAAGGCAGTGGTCACATGATTTAAAGATTCTAAAGATTCTATTGTTCAGAACAAGTTTGCATGCTGATATTCTGTTTCAGATTTCACAAATTTCTCATGATGAGTAATGTTGATGTACACACAGTGCTAATATCCAGATGTATGTGAAATAAATTAGTCTTATCTAACCTTATGACCGAACTAATATAAGTACTCAGTGCAGAGAGCTCCCGCTCTGTGCGGGGTCTGGGGAAGGGTTTCAGTGGCAAGCCTTACCCTCGCCTGTGCAATGCGAGGAGACCGCGACTCGAACCCGGGACCTTCCGGTCACAGGCGGTTAGACTCTACCGCTTGCACCAGGCCCGCCCTTCACCGAACTAATATAAGTATAAACATATTTTCTCTTATGAATAATACACACAAAAGTATTGCCACCCTATGATCTAATATTTCTAATAGGTAATTATGCTCAATCAGATAAAAAGATGGCGCAAATGGAAAGCTTCAAGCAATAAAGTGCAGGACAACAATGTTCTTTTTCAGTATTATTGAAAACAAAAGGCTACTCCATACTATTTTGAAGGAGAGGATAAATACAGATGGAACCAAAAGTATGCATACCTCAAGAGAAATTACAGCATCGAACAGCCTTTTCTCTTTTACCAGTTCCTCTGCATATACACAGTTCTCATATAAGTTTCCTCCAGTCACAGTCATAAGAAATATCAGGGATCAATAACTTAGATATCCAAATTCATTCCCATATCAAAATTCGAAAGGTAATGTTCTTCCTTTTGTACCACATTAAGTACTAGCAAAGTTTACAGCAAATAATCTGCACAGCTTAACCCATGCATGCGAACTAAGGACCTTATTCCTTAAAAAAGATTACATCAAAGTATGGTGTCAATGGAAAAGAACTCCCAGGGTCAACTCAGCAGCTCCTCTATCATTGTTCAACAGAAATACAACAGGTACAGGGAGGGAGGGAAGTACCAGCTGTTGCACAACAATACTCAATCGAAGCAGTTGTTGGATCAGATGCCTAAGAAGATAAGAACCAAGAATCATTGACTGAAGGAATAGTGAAGTTACAGATTATTGTGCTTATAAGATACCAAAATAACTCTTGAGACAAACAAACATATCTAAATTCACTGAATAATTACATGATCAAGAGTTTGCACATACCGCATGAATACTTGCAATCTTTATATTCTTGTCAACAGCATCAATTGCAGTAACCGTAGCACCCATTCGAGCAAGAGGCTGCAATCCAGCAGAAAGAGAGAATTATTTTATTACCCTTTTCCAGATTGATCACAGAACAAAGAAGCACTTCTTACAGTCTACAATTGCACTCAAAACACCCGAAAGGGATTGCACCAACATTAGGATATAAAATTTTGACACTTTCAAACAACTACTTACAGTATTTGCAAAATCTATTGAACTAATTAGTAATAGCATGTGCAATGTTCCGAGCTGAACTAACACAGGTGTTGAGGTTCACATCCAAAGTCACAAAGCCAATGAAAAATGAAAATAAAGAACCATTTTCCGTGTTTTCTACATACCATGATGATAAATGATTGAAATCCACAGCAGTAAGATTGCTCTTACTCTCAGGTAGGTAACATGAATGCTGTTAGGAGTTTCATTAGTTTAAAAAATTCAAGTCAGTCAAAATGCCCACTGCTAAAAGATTATTATATATGTGATAATATCCTCACCTAAATGTTTAACAAGCTTGCCTATCCATTCAATAGATTTCATCAAGCAATGTTGAAGCTAAATTCTATCTGCTGATCTAAATCTAAAAATTACATATGAAATTCAGTGTGTAAGCCACAGATAACTACTACGTCCATTCCAAATTGTAAATCATTTTAGGTTTGTCCTACACTTTTGTAGCTTTGATCATGTTTATAGAAAAATATATAAACATCTACAACATCAAACAAAATTCTTTAGATACACCATGAAATATATTTTGATAGTGCATCTATTTGATATTTTAGATGTTAATATATTTTTCTATAAACTTGGCCAAAGTTAGAAAACTTTGTCTTAGGACAAAACTAAAACGACTTACAATTTGAAATAGAGGGAGTATATCATAAGCCATATGAATACATGTGTGCACTAATAATCCCATTCTCCAAAGACATCCTCCAAGGAACAAAGTTCATGCATGCACAAGATCAATCCACAAAAGACCACCAAGGTGCACGGGAGAACCTATTATCACAACCAGTCAACCACTAACTCAACCCCTTAAAGTAGTATAAAGATATGAGCGCATTGCACAAAATACAAACTCAAAATAATTGAATAAACAAAATGCCAACTACTATATGTCAGTATCTGCTTCTATAATCTATAACGGTTGCCAAATGATCCACGCACTTGTTCCTTTATAAAAAAATTGTTGGTCCTTTACTATGTTAAGTGCCAATAGCGATTCGCATAAATGATTGACAGAGAGAAGCTTTCTACCTCTGACAGAATGCCACCTCCACATCCAACATCAATAACTTTGAGACCTTCAAGTGGCTTAGATGAATTTGGATCCCTCCTGGATGAACAAATATGCACACTTAAGCAGTTAGCTAAAAATTAACAAATAATGTGTGTTATTTCATAAGCCATGTCAGTTTACAGTACGAACAAAGAAGTTTGAGCCCAGACATACATGCAATGGAGTACCACACAAATTCATGAACATTGTTACTGATTTGGTTAGTCTATTAGAAATGAAATAACTTCGACAACCAACCTTTAATTTATTCTTGTACCACTAGAAATACAGCTTGGCAGTAGATTTCATGTATATTTCAGGCGGCTCACTATGTTATCAACAAAAATGAATAAGTTCAAGGGGTGCAGAACTGTACCTGAAGTGTCTACAAAGAGTGGAGCGGATAAAAGACAGTCGGGTTGGATTCATCACATGCAAAGGTTTGAATGGACCACTAGAATCCCACCTGTTTATTCCAGAAATAGCACCATCAGCAATAAGCTATAACATACAAGGAGACAACTGTAGTTCACTACCAATTTTAGCATTCAGAATAAGTTACAGTGTTATCTGAACAGTCCTATGTTATTCAGGTCTAATCTGCGTGCTTGAAAGTAGCTAGGAGCTAGCAACATGCTGATATTCATAAACATGTGTAGCGATCCAACAACACTAGCCTGTTTGTTTGGCTGTGGCTTGTCGTAAACGATCGTAAATTTCCAGCCGGAACGGTATTTTTCTCTCACACAACCACCAGCAGTACTTCTTCACGATCCAGCAACGATACGAACCAGCCAACCAAACAGGCTAGCATCGTTGTCTACATCCATCCCCCAGCCAAGGGCAGTAAATAAATGAAGGATGGTAGAGGTTCTATTCAAATCCGACCGGAAACGGTAGGCCAATTAATCTGTTAAACTTTGTCTCCCATGCTACAGGGGCTGTTTCACCACCATCTTTCGAATACGCGCACGCGCTCAAACATGCCGTCGTCCAAGCTCATACACGCTCAAAATTTCATCCAGACATTCTACCAAAAATCACGGGAGCTCATCGTCCTAGGCAAAAAGGAGGGATCTCATTTCTCACCAGGTCTCGGCGATGGAGGCGAACTTGGCGACCTCTGCAGGGTTCAGCGACGAGACAGTGGGACCGCCATCGCCCGACCTCGACGGACCTCGAGGCGGAGATGGAGGGGGTGGCGGCGGCGGCTGCGGCGGGACCGAGGAGGAGGCCACGGAGGCGTACCTGCTCCATTGGGGGAGGAGGGCTTGGATAGGAGAGTGGCTGGGTCTCGGGATTCGTGCCCTGCCGTGGAGTGGGGAGGCGGAGGAGAGGAGGGCGCGGCGGAGCATCGTTCGCGGCTACCGGACCCCGGCGAGGTGAGAGGTTTAGGACGCCGGGCCGACACGGCGGTGTCCGCTTGAGATGTGGACAAATCGATTTTCCACTTTGCTCGTCGGACCTCGGAGAACCCGTCTGCAGACCACAGAGACCATTGGATGCGCAATCGAACGGCTCAGATGAGAGGAAAGGCTGGTAAGGATATTTTTTTCTGGTTCCTTTTTTGGTGGAAGAAAAGAAATCATGCGCCCGTTTGAGACGCACGATCATGATTCATGAACACACCCATTCGCAGCATGTTTGTTTGGTCGTAAATGATCATAAATTTTTAGTCGGAACAGTTTTTTTTTCTCACACCAAATCAGCTAGAAATAAATAATCTACGATCTTTTATGGCCTCGAACAGGCTGTCGGTAGTTCCTGAGAAAGTTACCCTTCCACATTCACACTGTAGCCCCATTCGCTTGTCTTAAAAATGGTTTGTTTGACTTCTTTTTCAACCTAAAGTTTTTTTCTTCCACAATTCAACACCGTGTTTTCGATCGATTTCGATTTGAACCATTTACGATGTGCTATTTACGACGAGATGTGTGGGTCGTGGGTGGTAAACGCAGTGTATATCACGGGATCGAGTCTCGCCGATATATCTTAACCAAAAGGAAATGAACGTTAGTGAATATCATTATGAATCGTTTCCGGTGCAAAATAGTCCAACCAAACAGCACCTTAGTTGGAACTATTGGAAGAGTCTATAGTATTTATCGAAATTAGTCTTGTTCTGCACAAAAAAAAGGAGAAAGAAAAGAGGTAAGAAATGTGGCCCTTGTTGGTTTTTGGCTCTATCCTACCTCAATTTACTTTTTGACAAGCTGCTAAAAATACTGTCTGAAGAATGGAAACAATTACCATGTGCCACGTATAAGAATTCTCAACCAAAACGATTTCATCCAATCAGATCTCGTCCATAGGTTCTGGATGCCCATTGCCTATGTACGAGCTAACCATCTTGAAGCATGTTTGATATATGCGACTGATCGTTTGAGTTGGTTTGGCTTATGAGTTATGGCTGAAAGTAGTATTGGCTGGTTTGGTGTGAGAGAAAAATAATGTTCGTTGACTAATAAACTATGACTTATAAGCCAAATACGATCAAGCGAACAGGCCGTAGATCTCCAAGAGTATCTAAAATTTTCTAGGATACAGGGTCCATGTTTTCCGACTCCTAAAAATATATTAGGAGAAAAAAAAAGAACATCTCCAATAATTCACTCATAAAATATAAAAGATAATTTTATATCAAGAATCATATACTACTTCTAAATTATTTTAACCAATTTTATATATTCTTTCTCTCTCGTACATTTGCATCTGAAACCCTTTTGTACTATTTATTCTTTTTCCGCCCTTTCACCTTTAATTGGCCGAAGAATACGCGTGTATCCGCGCGACCGCAACTCCGCACAAAGTTACACGCGACGGGAAGGATTTCCCAAGTGCGTAAATTTTAGGAGGAAAGATTATGACTTGTTGAGAGGGATTTTTTCTTATCTTGCCAAAAACCAAGGATTAGGAAGGAAATATGGTACTCTTGAAGATGCTCGAATTAATTGCTAGCTATCTAAAAATTAGCTAAAATTAACTTTAGTCCATCCAATACCAGTACTAATAGATGGTAGCTAAATCTTTATGAGTACTCAACTTCAACTACTAGTTGCTAGCTAAGTAGCTATCCAACTTTAATTAGTTTGAACTAATTTTTAATCCAACTAGTAACTAGCTCTGGCTCATTCAAACATGGCCTTAATGTGATTGCAGGGTTGTGAGTAAACCTGGCAACAGTTTGGAGCCTGTGTGCACAATTTGTGACAAATTAACCGTTGATGTACTTTGTCAGGATTGCGTACTCTGTCAGCCCAACACCGCCAGCTAACTTTCAAAGAAAATCTCCGCCAGCTCTACGTGGGGGATAGTGGAAGAGAGAAGAGCAGTCAATGATGTACGTATCTCGATATTGAGTGACCTAGTGCCACTTGTACCTATCCAATCATCTTTCATTGCGATGAGATTATATATTAGCTTTAGACAATGTGTAAAGACTAGATTATTAGACAAGTAGTCTTTTAAACTAGCTCGGGACACATGCTTTAGAGCAGTTAGACTATTGGAGCTGCCCTCGCCGATGATTCGAAAGCAAAACCACAGCAGTCAGGGTACCAAGGCATCGGATGGCAAAACTGGAGCCACTCTGGCAATGGTCAAGGATGGTATTGCAGCAGTAACTTGTGCCACCACCAGTGTGCGATGTACTCGCGAATGATCTTACTGGGTACTCCTCTTTATTTCGGTATATACACAAATTCGACACCGCACAGCTCGAAACAATTCACTAGCGAAGCTCAGATCTTTGGAAAATGAACAACATTGAGGCATTACAACACACTTCAAACCTGGCTACTGGATAGTTCAGTTGAAGTTTGAATGATCACCCAGTCCTGGGTATCTTTTTTTCCGTCATTTGGCCCACCAAGAAACCTTTCTCAAGATTATACTGGACAGTGGTGTCTACTGATCTTGTTGTCACCTCAATACTCTCTTCTCCGGCGCTTGAAACTGGAAGGTATGGTGAACTGATTTTGGGAGTTCTGGAGGGAGGTAATTTCAGGAACAAACATGGTGCTGTCATATGCAGGGAAACACAAATTCCCATGCCAATTGAGCCCCGAGGCTGTTGGTGGCGAGGGAACCTCAGGTACTGTCCATGGATTCTCAGGTACTCGGCTCATATATTCATCGGTGATCAATCCAGGCACCTGCCCTAATAGTTCCTCAGCAACGGAGCCTTCAGCTAAACAGCATTGTGGAGATCCACCAGCACTCCCCAGCTTAGCATTGTCACCCTGTAAAGAGAGAAATGGTATTCAATAGTCTGCCTTTTAAGTATTTCAAGTGAACGAACAAATCAGATGCTACGCTAAAATGAAATCATCATCATCATCATGTCACAATCCAGAAAGCCTAGACTATTGCAAAGAGCAAACTCCTACACTAGAGTAACAGTCACCAAATCTAGCAACTAAACCTAGCATTACAACAGCACAAATCTGAAACTCTAGTTCACCATCAGCCAGTTAACAAAGGATCAGATTAATTTTCAACCTAAATAATCTTATGCGTTAATTTTCTTCATGTAGATGCCAGAAAGAATGTCACTCTTAAGCTCTTAAGCTCTTGAACATGTTTACAACAACAATCTGAATTTTCATCATAGTAAAAGGTCATAAGTTCAAATGCATGAAGCTAGTCAACCACATATCAAGAAATGCTGGTATGTTCATCGGCAGTCTAAAAGACCTTAAAGTTGAACAGATGCTAGTAGGCTATTAACGACATGGAGGAAAGAGAGGCAAAAAGGAAAATGTATATATGGTAACTTGCCTTCGAAGAACCATGCTCGGAGAAGCCAAAGTTTGGACCATATTCTGAGTTACTGAAGAACTCATCCACAGGCCAATCTGGTAGACTGTCTGTCACATTACCACCTGAGAATGACAAGTGGTAGGCTCCATCACTATTGCCGTTAATTTGGTTGGAGAAGACTGTTGTGGTCTGGCTAGATTGCAGAAGTGTTGGGCTTTCCTCTGACGTGTACTTAGGTGGGGATTCTACTGACTGAATTGTACTATTGTTCATAGTCCAATCAACCACTTCTGCCCTGGCTGTTGGAACAGATTTCTGCCTTGAATAATCTCCATTTGTTACATTTTGGTTGGGAACAGAAGCACTGCCTTCAACTGAAAATTGAACTGCCGGGCTTCTCCTAGGCAGATGTCTCGCTGGTTGATTTACTGATCCACCAGCAGCATTAACATGCTTTTCAGCAATAGGTGGAACTGGATCAGCAGGATCAAGACCCACCTGAACTCCAGTTAGCAGGAATCTCTGATGCACTGAAACAAAGGAATTCACTGTGTGTATAGCAACATCACAGTCTCTACAAAGTAGTGCACGGTCCTCTAGGCAGAAGAAGTATCCAGAAGCCTCCTGCATAAGGATAAACATGAGAAATGTCTTGCAGGAGGAATCAATACAGTACACAACAAAGTGTGTCGCAGTATATCGTTGTGATGAACGCTGGTCTAGATGGCACTGAACCCCAGCAGCGTGACCTCGCTGATAGCCGGCAGACAAGGGTAAGGGTAGGAGAAAGGGACTAGGTAATAGATTGATATTCTTCTAGCCTGCCAAGTAATGGTCGCATGCCCTCCTTTTATAACCACGTACTAGCAGCTAGGAGATAAGACTAACAAATGAATCTAGTAGCTAACTAACAAATAATGATAGCAACTCAGGATAAGGTTGTTGTTTGCTCCTTGCGCCAGCCGCCTAAGCCCCTGCAGCCAGTTGGCCACATCCAGATACAGCATGTCCATGGACAAAAGCTTAACCAACTCAAAATGTAAAATATAGTGACTCATCGTCCATACAGTGATTCAATCCTCATAAGTAAAACACTGTAGAGTATAAACAGAAGGCACACCCAAGCACCCAACAGCACTACAGCAGCCCTTAGTGCACAAACAAGGGTTCTCATCTAGCAAGTAGCAACCACTGAAGCAAAACAAGTGCAACTTGCAGAAACACACCAGGCAACTAAATTTCGCAACTTAGGTTGATACAAAATAATGACGTCACTATACATAGACTGGAATTAGTAAATTTACAATTTGATGGTTGACGCATTTACCAGGTTTTCAAAATCAGCAAATTTGACAGGTTACAGAAAAAATGATAGGGCATAATGTGTTGCTATTAGAAAAAAACACATGGTGTTTCACTTTAGCTTCCTCAAGGTAGTTACAAGTGCACATGTGCATGTAACTGCGTCTTTTCATGAACTTGTGCAAGTAAACATCTGCGTGAGACTGTGGGATGCAACGCACACGAGCTTGAGCTTGAGCTAGTGCGTGCATTGTGTAGCGATCTTGTCTTTCGTCTTGAAGATTACCTATTTCTTCCACCTGTGGTAAATTAGGTGCTGGTGGAAAAAGAGAACTTGTGCAAGTGCAATGTAAAGCCTATTGGGATTCACTCTAATTAAATGTACCATTTTATGCGAACTGATCATAGATCAGTTGGTTAGGTTTCTTATGGTGGAACCTGCCCACCCGGGTTCAAGTCCTCGACTTGGCACGGGTGCTCGCAATTTCCTGGATTTATTCCAGGATTTAATGGCGCTATGCTTTCAGTGGTAGGCGACGTCCCCGTCGACACCGAGGCGCCTGTGGTGACTTCATGAATCTCGAGATCAGCCGGCTCAGTCCTTCGAAGGTGCTCATAGGGGTAGGGTTTGCGTACATGTATTCATAGGGGTGAGTGTGCGTGCGTGTTGTGGACGTCTGCTGTGTAATTCTCAAAAAATGTACAATTTTACGTAGCCTGTAGTACATTTAGCTATGTAACTTTCTATTTCAGGCCTTCATAAAATGGTAGCAATCGTATTTGAAGAATATATGACCAAATGAAGAGAGAGCTTCTATGTGCATGCATTTGGGATGATCTTCACCATTGGCCTTTAAGCATAAGTGTCATTCCAGTAAAAGTTGCACTGTAGTCTAACAAAGCTACCCTCGAGGTTTGGGCCATTTCTAGTGCACACTTTATCAGGGAACACTAGATTGAATGCTTATCTATTTCATCAAAACAAGGCTGGAAATGCAAACTGAGATTGCATGTGCATGCACATGGTCAGTAACCCAGGCAGCATGGTGAAGCAAGTATGCTCATACCTGGGTCCACGCAGGACAGGCAGACAGCATGATCAACTCTAGCAAACATTAATTATTCTCCTTGCTATTATTGATGCCTTTCAATACTTTTATATTTCTAGAAATTTTTCCTTCTTGTTGGTGGCTCATCTTGTGTTTCATCTCTATCCTACCCCAACTTGCTAGGTATAAAGGGCACTGTTGTTGTTACTGCTGGTTTTACACTGACAAGTGCTAATTTTAGAGCATAAAAAAGATGGATAAATAAATGAAGTGTTGGAGTGTTTTCTTAAAACACGTAATTTACCCAAAATAAAGGTATATGTGGTTTTTATTGGGACATGACCAAATCAGCAACAAAAATGAGAGCATCAGTCTATAATTTTCATCTTTGAAACCACAACCTCACGTTAGCATTAATTGAACCACAAGGAAGCAAAAGTAGCACACCATTGCCTTGTTCATCCATTTAAATATATAACTAACTAATATGTACAAATATGTCCCAAGAGATAATTTGCTGTACTCTCTCAATCAACAATTTACATCATCCAAAGTCAGATTAACAGAGACAGGAGCATAAACCCCATTGGCTACAGGGAGATAATTTTGACCAACTCTAGATCAATTGCGTAAGCCCCTTTGCCTCTGCTTCTTCATCACACCAGCTACATGCAACATGCTGTAGCATAGTCATATCACCACAATTCAACAGCCTATGGTACTGCAGCAAAACCTATGAGCCTTTTACCTTTGTGTCATTATAAAAGATGGTCGCAGCCTACATGTCACTAAAAAGTTCGAGCGCACCTTGGTGCCATCGTCAAACTTTTTTTTGCCCTCCACCATGGCCGCTCCATCCAGTTTTACCTCTAACGCTGTCAAACAGGCAGATGAAATGACCATTTTACCCTTATAGTGGGGCCTGTTTGTCAGCCATCCAAACCTTCTCTTTATGCCCGCCCCTCTGGCCTTATCCCCTCCACCAGTCCACCCTCTCCACCGACGGCAGCCAACCAAGAAATCCCCGCCCAACCTCCATCGCCCCTCCGGCTCTGCCTCGCGCCCGTGCGGCCTCCAGAGCCGCCCCAACTGCGGCCACCTCCTCCGTGCGGCCTCCAGCGGCGGCGCGCCGCCCAGCCTGGGGCCATCTCCTCTCTCCCCCGGCGCCTCGCCCTCGCGCGCCCTCCGCAGTAGCGCCGCACTGTCCCGCCCACGACGCCGGCCGGGGCCGCGCCCCACCCCACCATGGCCGCTCCACCACCTGCAAGCGGGAGCCCCCGCCGCCGGCGCTCCCGGCATGCGTGCGGGAGCCGCCCCGCCGCGGTGCCCCAAGGCCCGCACTCGCGCACCACGGCGAGGCTCCGGCGACGGCGACGGCTGTGTCCGCCCCGCGCCTAGTGACTGAACGGAGCTCTGGCACGAACAGAGCGCGCTCATGGCACGGAGTCACCCAGTCTCCCTCCTTCCTCCATGTCCCGCGCTCGGCGTCCAAGGAGAAGGTGCCTCTGCCGTCGTTGATGGAGATCCACATGCGCGCGCCCACCACGGAGTAGGCCATGACGCACACGGTGTAAAAGCCATCACCGTCATCCGGCTCCAGGGACGCGGCGGAGCGCCTCGAAGCAGCAGCAGTCGCCGCCGCGCAGGATGCTGTCCATCACGACCACCGTGTCATCTCCCACCGCGAGCATGGCGGGACGGAGCTTGGCGTCGCGCAACTGCGGGCCGGGCGACGAGGGCTGCGTGGCGACGTCGAGGGCCACCGTGTTGCGGGACTTGTAGACGAGGCCCAAGATGGTGCCGCCGGAGAGGGCGAGCACTCCGAACTCTGTGGTGGCGTGATCGGCGAACCAGGCGGACGAAGTCGTCCAGCAGCCGCTCCGCGAACGGGGACGGGCCGAGGCGGAGCAGCGGGCCGTTCTCGACGCCGGCAGCGCGGGCTCCGCCGCGAGCACTCCGCCCCACCTCGCGGCCGCGCGGCCATCCCCGACGCCGGCCGCGTGCGCCCCGCCCTGCGAGACGGGCTGGAGCGCAAGGCCGCGGCATGGCCGTCCTGCGAGGTGCCGGTGGTTGCGGCGGCGCTGGCTTGGAGCGGCCATGGCGTCCGTGCCACACGCGCTCTGCCATCGCCCACACCGACAGCACGCGGACGACGCGACCGAGCGACGCCTCGCGTGCGCGGACAGGCGGCCGAGCGGGCGGATCGCGCGCGGCGGCCGGGATGGTGGGCGGCTCTGGGAGCGCGACGGAGGAAGGTGCCCAGGTCACTTACAGCTTGGCCCCACCAGGCAGAGAGAGAAAGAAGGGAGAGGACAGGGTCAGAGAGAAGGGTATTTTGGACATCAACTATCGGTTGGGTCAACATGTCAGGTTGTCAAACGATAGAAATCAAACAGAAGGTGGACGGAATGGTTTGAGGGCAAAAAAAAAAAAGTTCGACGATGACACCAAGGTGCGCTCGAACTTTTTAGTGGCATGTAGGCTTTGACCATCTTTTATAATGGCACACAGTTAAAAGGCTCAAAACCTATCCCTTTCAAGAACAATGTGAGTCTCTTTAATTTTTTTTTTCCAAAGAAAGGGGTCGATAAATGATGCTTTGGCTCCTCAGGAGTGGCACATCAGTACAACATCCAAGTCAATCTCTTCATAATTACAATATCCTGGAGGACCAGAGACAGATCACATCATGATGCCTTCCCTGGGATAGGGAAAGCCTGTGGGAGCTAAAATTGAACTCACTATAGTCCTAGTCCAGTCAGATCATCAGTAAAACATAGTATATCATATAGCAATTGCACCAATGCTCTAGAAACAAGACTCCCCGGGAAGCTGCCCAGGTAAAGCAATTTGCTACAGACCGAAGCATCAACAACAGCTTTCCTTCAACCGCCTATGTTTCGCTAGCCAAATCATCAGGCGAGACCTACCCTGCTAGGTGCTAGCTTGGGATCAGACGATCAGTACCGGAATTCCCAGCCTGGCAGTGGCAGCTACTACGCGACAGCTCCAATTCTCCAAACCCCCAACCCAACCGAGCTACAGGAAAGGAGGGAGGGACAGCAGAGACGAGGTCTCGGGGTCAGGGCAGACCTGACAGATGTCGCACTTGGGCACGGCCGGCGCCACGGCGGCGGCGGGGGCGGCGGTCCCGGCGGCGTCGGCGTTGGTCAGGAGCGGCACCCGCTGGTGCTTCCCGGCGAGCTTGTTGGCGGCGTGCACCTCCTCGTCGCAGGCGACGCAGAGCGCGGCCTCGTCCGCGCAGCACAGCACCCGCGCCTCCGCGGCCCCGCACGCGTTGCACTGGATCTTCATCCCCGGCTGGCTCCCCGCTAGGGTTTTAGAGGGAGGGGAGGGGGACGAGGACGGCCGGCGAGGGGGGACGCGGCGGGAGGAGTTGGATCGGCTCCCGGCTCCCCCTTTCTCTCTCCCTCCCTCGCACGGCCCGTGTGAGCTAATAGTAAAGCTTATAAAGCGAGAGGCGAGATATATGGTTGCGAGGAACCAATGCGCTGTTGTGTTTTGATTAGGTGCGCGCTTTGTTTAATCCGCCTGGTGGGGTGCGGTTGCTTTCGGTAGGCGAGAAGAGAGGGGACGATCGGGCCATCGGGGATTCGGGGGAAGGTTGCGGACGAGGAGAATGAGACGACACACGAAGCGGCGGTCAAAGCACAAAGCCGAGGGCCGGCGCGGCGGGCGTGGCCGTGGGACGGGCGGAGGCGCCAGCCGAAGGAGGGCAGCTGGACAGCGGAGTGGGGGCTTGCGGATCGCGGACGTGCTCCGCCCCCGCGTCCACCAGTAAATAAAAAATTGCTGATATTTCATCTCGTGAGGCTGTCAATTTTGTCCGTGCGATGTCGGCACATTCCGGCGGCCGCCGAACCCGGGCAGATGCCGGTTTGCGCCAAAATTTGCCTTTTGCTGGACGAGTACCGAGGAGTCCTCGCTGATATTTCTATATCTATACTCATTCAGTCACGAAAGAAGTGTCATTTTTTATACGAACCATGTAGATTCACAGCAAAAACGATATTGATATTCTGAACGGACAGCGCGGAAATTGGACCGTACTCGAGGTCTTCGACGAGATCAATTCGATGGTCCTCGCTGATATTTCTATATCTATACTCATTCAGTCACGAAAGAAGTGTCATTTTTTATACGAACCATGTAGATTCACAGCAAAAACGATATTAACGATATTCTCTTTTTAGAACGGAGGAGATCAGCGCGGAAATTGGACCGTAAGGCTCTTAACACTGGATGGTCTTCGACGAGATCAATTCGATGGTGATGCTGGGGAGGCAGTGGAGCTATGACGAGAGCAATTGAGCAATGGTCAGCAGCAATTCTCGAATTTACCGTGGCAATGTTGGTGGGAAGGCGAGGCTAGAAGAGCTGAGCGAGAAGGTAAGGGCTTCCCCAACGGATCACCCGTGAACGGCTGCCTCAAGATCCACGTCTGCTTATGTAGTCCATATCATCATGAGTAGTAGTTTCGCAGTATGACAGAGCCTCTTGTAGAGGAGTCGATACCTCCATCTGGAGAGAAAAAAAGATGAAGCATCTTCTGCAGCGTGCATTGCAGCGAGAGAAGAGAGCTGCCTTGATTGGTCCCAGGAAATAAAGCTAAATATTCACGCTAGGGAAGGAGATAAAGTTGTCCGCTTGCGTCAGACCATCCGAGCTGCCTCCGTTGTGAGTTTGAGAGCTCTACTTTCTTTTACTTACGAGTACCGCTGTATTTGGCCGAGGCCAACAAACTTGTTAGCCTGCATTGGTGAAGCCCTAAGACGACAAGCAGGAGCAACTTCACCACTTCGGTCATTTTTCATGCGCCAAGGAGTGAGGAGGGGGTTTTCATACGCCAAGCGAGTGAGGAGGGGGTGAGTTGTCATGGTGCATGCTCGTGTGCATGGTACGCCGTTGGGCAACGACGCAACGGGAATATGCACTAGTGGATCCCCTTGCGTTCTCTACCATGCCACTCCTTTTTTTACAACAACATTAATATATAACGTTAAAGCACACTACACCAGCGTAGGAAAGTTATTCCCATATTACAGAGCACAGTTAAGAAAAAGCTACTGCTGATATGTTTCATACACATAGGTGATGTTTCTATCGGGGACACAGGGCCCACAAGAAGTGGCCACGATAGAAACATCGAAGGTCCTCGTTCTCGCACTACGATAGCACAGCCGGCGCCCCCTCGACCGAGAATAAGTAGTCTTGAGCCATAAATAGGATGGAGGCTTCACCGGACTCAAGACAATGGATCCGCAACCATCAGTGTCAAATCTGAGGGCTTGTATCAACTGTCGTTGGCGGTCAACCCAAACATGAATAGCTGCTTTACCACTTTCATATCTGTAGACAAACAGAAAAGCAAATTGACAGAAGACAAAGACTTGCTCTGCATGTGCAACAGGGCAGGCACCCTGGAAAAATGTGTCATAGAGGACTCAATGAGGACGGCAGGTGTCCAAACTAGCATGCTGCGGTGGCCATGGAGAGGGCCTGCATGCCTGCCAGCTCGCAACCATCGGACCCACAGTGCAGGAGGTAGGCCCCACGTACGGCAGCAGGGCCCCACCCAAGTGGGGAGCAACCAACCGTCAAAGTTGAAAATGGACGGAAACGAACGAAAAATGCCTCTACCGTTTTCGTTTCCATATTTATTTTATGAAAACGGGAGCGGGAGCGGAAACGGCAGCGGGATAAACGGTAATATAAAAATGGGTAAATACGATCGAAAAATAGACGAAAACGAACGGTAAGCGAAAACTTAAGCCGGGATTGTATGCACATCTCGTTAGTCGTTACAACCAGCCTATACACATAAGTAATACACGTGATAAGAAAAGTATTGATTTGTTGCTCGTCTTCTCATGCTCAGCCACGGCCGCCGCTTTGTGGCCTTTGCCGCTTAGCCGCGCTTCCTGTAATGTTGCCTTCATGCTCGGCAAGCAAGCAATATGGTCTTGGACCGCATCGACCATGCCCACATAGCAGCATGCGCCAAGCAACAAATAGCAACTGTAATTATCGGGTTCATAAACCCGAAGTCCCTAATGGACCCGCTTCCCTACAAAACCCGGCCCAGCAGACGGCGCAGCGACATCATGCGCCTGGGCTGGCCCAAATACATAATGATAGGCCAAGACAACGATCCGCTTCCCAATCGGAAGGCCTGACCGAGGTGGGACCACAGTCCTACTCCGACCCCCATTCTCCGACCGAGGATACGCCGGACCTCTGTTGTTCGCTGCTCTTTCCCGACCGACATGGTTAGGGCCAACTGAGAACAACTGACCGGGGATGCCTGCTCGGTGTGGGCGCGGTGAGCAGACGGAGCAGATAAGGTAAGACGCTCAAGTCAACCACAATACCGAGGACCGTACCCTGCCATGCCCTGCACACCTTAGGGACGGTGCCATCAGGGCATGTCAGGCGAACACGGTAGAGCATGCCAGACGCGTCAGAGCATAAACAGTATTGTGGGCGCCGGCGTTTGCCGTACCAGACGAACATGGTAGAGTCTGCCAGATACGTCTAAACATAAACAGTATTATGGGCGCTGACGGTCATCCTGTACCCGATGGTGTGGGCAATGAGACTAGGCAGCGCATGTATACACTCTCTCTCTCTCTCTGACTTGTAAGGCCATCCCTTCAACTATAAAAGGGGATGAGCTCTCTCCTAAAAGCCCCCCCTCGAAGACTGGACGACTCGAGGACTTGACAGCTCAATAGCTCTAGAGCTCGACAGCTACACAGTCTACACGCTCTCAACAGCTGATAAGCTAGGATACACAGAGCATATGCTCCGATACTTAGCGCATGTTTAAGCATCCGTCACTCTCAGCTACTTGGTTCAGAGTCCGACCGGGCCTCTAACACCCCCTTCTCATTCTTCACTCGTTTATAACCCCACAACAAACTTCGAGCACCTGGGCTCAGGAATAAAGTCACCGACCGACTAAAACTAGATATAGGGCACGCTGCCTGAACCAGTATAAATCCTGTGTCATCGTGTGCTAGGCCACATCCGATCACAACGCACGGCAAAACTACAAATATTTACTTGTTGGCCACATTTCACACCGACAGTTGGCGCCATCCGTGGAGAGGACGCCGTGCATTCACGCTTTTGGTAATCGGATGGCCCACCTTTCCACCATCTTCGGCATGGCGGGCTCGAGCGATACGATTCGCTTCGGTTCGCTGGAGTTTCCCATGCTCCCACTTGCTAGGATGTGGGTTCCTCCCATCTTCGTGCCACTCCAGACCTTCCTCTTTGGGAGTCTGGATTTCGTCGTCGACTAGCTCGGCGTACTCTGCCTTCGTGAGGAGGCGCTTGTCCCGACGTCCACTGCAGGAGGAGCGCCCTCCACCGGCCCTGGGCCACTCGATGACCTCAATGTCGAGACACCCGCGCTTCGCCTCGAGCCCATGCTAGGCTCAAACCCCACGGTGAGTGATGTACATATTATTCTTTACTCACTATTTAACACCTTTCGCCAACTCTCTGGAGGGACCCCGTTGTCCCCACCGCGACCGCCATGCGACCGGTTCTCCTATGGCTTCGTATCCCCTGTGGACGCGTGCGCGTGGGGAGTCCGAAGGATGCTGACATCGCCCCCTCTCATGTCTAAATTCGTGGGGATGGCGGGCTACACTCCCTCCTCCTTCCACAACCTCGTCGATGACGAGGTCAAAAGTGATGGCTCCAGCATCGGCGACGTCATGGCACCTGGCCACCCTCTGTCCCGGGAGTGCGCTATGGCGGACGCCTCGGGACAGCCACAGATGGTAGTGGAGTCTTTGCAGACTCACACCCCTCCGGACCCCTGTGCATAGGCCCTGGCGCGTGCACAGGAGCACGGTGGGAAGTTACGACAAAAGGCGGCAGAGCCAGCCTGCGCCGGCACACCTGGTGCATCATGCTGCGCCACATGCGCGCAAACCAATGAACAGCGCTGGGGGTCATCCCCGTCAGGTCCAGCGTAACATACTGGATGGAGGGGATGACCCCCCCTCAGTTTGCTTGGGCTGGCCAAAACATCACTGCTACGGCGATGCTTCTGCGCGGCCTCCCCGAGCCTGCCGACCCCTAGAAACAGGAAATCCACCAGAACCTCTGGGCACTGGTGGAGACCGCCGTCGTTCAGTAGGCGAAGAGCTCCGCGTCGTCACCCCGGCTCGCGGCCTCTTGCCCAACCGGGGGACGTAGGGCGCACCAGTCGAATCGCTCTGTCCACTCACCACAGCAGTTGCCGAGCGAGGAGCAGGAAGCCACGGCTGCACCGCAAC